CTATTGATCTTGCTAGCTATGTCATTTGCCCTGCAGAAGCTCTGCAACTTTATGCAATCCCATTTGTCCAACCTTTCTTTGATTTGTTCACACAGGGTTCTTTTCTGTGATCATAAATCTGAAAGTAAATAGCTAGGGTATGGTTATAGGATGAAGTGACATGGAAAAGTAAGGCAGGACAACAGTAAATAGTAGGTGAAATTCATCAATATTGAACTTTAGATCTATAGAATAAATAATGGTCCCTAATACAGACTTCTAAAATATAGTAAGGAAGGGGAAGAATTCTGGGAGTGGTGATTGCTTGGATCAGATTCATGGGCACAGATCTACTTGGGTGGAAACTCTGAGCATGAGCAGCATTGCAGAAGAAAGCTCTAGCCTTAACTGTGTGTGGTAAGAGGAGAGAAACCATTATGTGTGAATAAGAGTAAGGAATGCCAGGACACAGCATATGAGACCAAGGAACAGGATCTGTGAGAGCCCTGTGACTTACCTGTCAGAGAATGCTTTCGTTTGGCAGCTTTGTAAGTATCCAGGGAGCCAGAAGGATTCATGCTCAGCTGGTGGAAGCAGTTTGAGGCAGTTCCTGCGTAAGAATTTAACACAGCAGTGAGGAGAGGACAATGCTCATCCTACAGACAGCCTTTTCTGCTCTAACTTGTTTGGCTTCAGACAGAAAAGCATCTGTGACCCCCCGCCCTACACATAAAGTAAATACAAAGTATAAGACAAGTTTGGAAGGGGAATATCCATCTTCTTCCAGAAGGTAATACATGTATGTATGTGTGTATGTATGTATGTGGGGGGGTATATATACATATATGTATCCATGTGTGTATATGTATTTATATATGGTGGTACTAGGGGTTTAGGCCAGGGCTTTGGATTTGCTAGGTAGGTACTCTATCACTTCAGTCATTCCTCCAGCCTATTTTTCTCTCCCTGTTTTTAAGATAGAGTCTCATTTTTGCCCAAGGGCCTGGACTATAATCCACCTATTTATGCTTCTCACTGTCACTGGAATAATAGGCATCCCTTTCTGTTGAGATGGTGTTTAGTGTACTTCTTGTCTGGGCGGGCGTTGAACCACAGTCATCCTGATCTGTCTCCCAAGTAACTAGGATTACAGGCATAAACCACTAGCATAGGGCCTTTCCTCACTATTATTTCTTATGTCTTCATCTCATATAATTTTCTTTACTGATATTGCTGCTTCTTCCTCTTTTCTTTTCCCTATCCCCTTTCTTTTCACTACTTAACTATTAATACTTTTAGCTTTAATAATTTCTAAACTCATTAGTTTATCCTATAAGTATACTATTCTTTTCATTTCAAAGCTTATTTGGTGTGCAGTTGATGTTTCCAATTGAGTTTTACTACATTTAAAATATCCTGTTTGTATTTTAATTGTTGTCTTTGTTATTTCTATCTGCTTTCTCTCCTGTAAGCAGTTGTGAAAAATCACTAACTCCATGAGAAGGCTACTAGGAATAAACCCATAAATTTTTTAAAAACGGAGAAACAAAAAAAATATTCATTCCAATAGATGTACATACAGCAACATACAAGCATAAGAAACGGGAAAAGAAAGGCAATATGACAACTCCAAAAGCTTACAATTATTCCTTATCAGAATCCATAGACATCGAAGTGTTGAAAATGTTTTTTGTTTGTTTGTCAGTCACGGGGCTTGAACTCTGGGCCTGAGCGCTGTCCCTCAGCTCTTCAGCTCAAGGCTAGCGCTCTACCACTTGAGCCACAAAACCACTTCCAGTTTTCTGAGTAAAAAGTTTTATTAGAGATAAGAGTCTCAGAGCCTTTCCTGCCCGGGCTGGCTTTGAACCGAGATCCTCAGACCTCAGCCTCCTGAGTAGCTAGGATTACAGGCCTGAGGCACTGGCACGGCGAAATGTTTGTTTTAAAGAGAAGAATCAAAAGTCTAGTTCTAAAAGTGATCAATGACCTCAACAAAGATTTAGATAAACAAATGTGAAAAACAGCAACATTGGTGAGGAAATCATCTAGAAAATTTAAATATTAGGGAGGATAAATGGAAATGTTCGAAATGAAAAACTTGATCTGTCAAACAAGGTGGAAAGCCTCAGTTAGACTAGACACAGTTTAAAAAAAAATATATTAGGAACTGAAGCTAGGTAGGAATTTTATATAATCATGAGAGCCTCCATTAAAAATTAGAGAGATCTCAAAAAACAATCTAATGAGTATCTCAAGGTTTCAGAAAAACAAGAATAACCAAGCTCAAAATCAGTAGATGAAAAAGAAAAAACAAAGATCAGAACATATATTAATGAAATAGCCTAAAAAATAACTGGAAAAAAATGAAACAGAGTTGATTTTGAAAAAAAATTTTAAAATCTTACCTAAACTAATCAAAAGAGAAAAATATAATGATGAATAAAAGTAGAGATAAGAAAGGAAATAATACAATAGATATCAATGACATTCACAACATTATACTAAAATAGAGGATCCAGAAAGAAATTTATACTTCAATCAGCTGATTCTCCATAAAAATACCAAAAACATACACTGGAGGGGGAAAAAAAGCCTCTTTAACAAGTCGTTCTAGGAAAACTAGCTACCCATTTGTATAAGACTGAAACTAGATCTCTAACTTGATCCCTAACTAGATCCCTAGATCTCATTCACCTAAATCATTTCAAGAGGATCAAAATCCTTAATGTAATACCTGAAACTATAAAACTACTAGCAACAAACAAGGGAAACACCTGACGAGACAGGTATAGTCAGCAACTTTCTGAATACTATTTCAATAGCCCAGGAAATAATAGCAAAACCTGACAAATGGGATTACATCAAATTGTTTCTGTAAACCAAAGGAAACAATTACAGAGTGAAGGGATAGCCTACATAATGGGATAAAAATCTTTGCTACATATTCATCTGACAGGAGATTAATAGAATATACAACCTCAAAGCCAGGTGCCGGTGGCTCACGCCTGTAATCCTAGCTACTCAGGAGGCTGAGATCTGAGGATCGCGGTTCAAAGCCAGCCTGGGCAGGAAAGATGGTGAAACTCTTATCTCCAATAAGCCGCTAGAAAACTGGAAGTGGTGCTGTGGCTCAAGTGGTAGAGCGCTAGCCTTGAGCTGAAGAGCTGAGGGACAGAGCACAGGCCCAGAGTTCAGGCCCAATGACCAGACCCAAAAAAGAAAAAAAAAAAGAATATACAACTTCAAAAAAACTACTTGTTCTAATCAAGTTCTTAAAAGAAGAAACAAATGTCTATCAAATACATGAAAATGTTCAAAACTCTTAGCCATAAAGAAAATATAATTAAAGCTACTCTAAGATTCTATCTCATTCCAGTCAATATGACCATCATCAAGAAAACAAGTAACAAGTGCTGGAGAGGATGTGGTGTGAAAAGAACCTTCATACACTGTGGCTGGGAATGCAAATTAGTGCAGCCACTGTGGAAATCAGGTTCTTTAAAAAAAATAGTAAAACTAGAACTCTTATATGCTCTTGCTATACTTCTATATTGCTATGTATATACTCAAAAGAACCTAAGTCAATATAGAATACAGTAGCTGCACACTCATGTTTATCATGGCACTGTTCAAACAAGTATTGCACATTTTCTCGCATATGTAGAGTTTATATTTTTTAAGACATAAAAGTAGAAAGAGAAATATTGGGGGAAGGAGGGATTATCAGGAGTAGAACAGAGATAAAAGAAGATGTTGGGTATGGACATGGTCAATGTATATTTTATGCATGTATGAAAATATAATGAAATCCATAATTGTGCACCCCATTATTTTGTGCAATTAAAATATATCAAATTTTAAAGACCTTAGAAACAAACAACAATATAAACAAAACAAATACCTTTTGTGATTGGAGCACTTGCTTTGCTCTTCTCAGTAATAACTCCACGACTGAGTTGTTTAAATGAATAATCAGGGATACAATTAATGGTTGCAGCTAAACTTATAAAAAAGTATGCCTTAACAAAATAAAATTTATTTAAGAGATGTTGTTGGCCCAGGGTAATAAGAGTCCAGGGCTGCCCTTTACTCATTAATTCATCAAGTGCCTAAAAATAAAAAAGTAAAATAAAGCAAGTTAGTAAAATATTTTTCAGGTACTATTAGCTCCATTACCCTTTTTTATTCCTCATTTGGTGTCAACTTAAGGAATTCAAGTTGCATAAATGGCAAGAGTTTCTAGAGATATGTAGAAGGTAGAACCACCCCAGCTCAACTGGAGGGAAATAAATTCACAACATCCACGCTTCGCAACTAGAAATGGATAAAACCACAGAACCATGCAAACACTTCATGGTCATCATCCTGTATTTTCCCATTTTATCCACTCTCCTTTCTAAACAATCATTTCCTAGCCTTCTCTCCTTTACATTTGAATCCTTCCTTCCTTCTCTGCTTCACAGCTAACAACCTTTGCTTTCTCTACTTAACACAACAAACAAAACAAAAAACAAACAAGCGGTCAGTAAAGCAGAACATTGTAGATTCCAATGTTCCATTTATTTCACCTCCCTAAGCATTTATCTGCCCCATTTCCATCTTCCTTTCTGCTGCTCAAAGATGGTCATGCTGCCTAGGCCATCAGTTCTGTCCCCACTGACCAGCCCAATTGTTCTCTCCTCTACACACGTTTTCCTCCTTTTCAGTACATAGTCATTCTATTAGAGCTCTGGCAATATTCTAATCTCCTTTGTGTTTTTCTTTTCCTAGCGCTGGAGATAACCTGAACATGCTACACTTTACCACTAAGCTGTACCCCCGGCATGTTATTTGCTTTTAAATCCATTCACAATTCCTACATTCAAACCCTTTGGTTTGAAGTCACCAATGATTCCACTGGACTAAATCCAAAGTTCAATTCTATGCTCTCATATACCATGCTACCTCTAATGTAACATCTTTTTATCTTTTTTAAATTCTATTTTCTTGTAAAGATGCTGCATAGATAGGTTACAGTTATATCAGTAAGGTAATTTCTTTCTTGTTGGGTATTTTTACCCCATCCTTTGTTTTTCTCCCACTATCCCTTCCTTCCCCCTCCCTCCCACCATACTATCTTTACCAGCAAATACATGCATATTCCATCAAAAGTCATGCTGGAAGCACAGTAAATTATGATGTCCAATTTTATACTACTGATCCCCTTTCCTTCTGAAGATGTTTTCTTTCTTTGGCTTTCAGGCCACTACACTTCCTTAGCCTTCATCCTTGTCTTATTAGTCATTTCTTTTCCATGATCTTTGCTGGCTCCTTCTCTTTTGTATTTCTTAAAGCTGGAATGGCCTAGGACCCTATCCTTGTTTTCTCCTCGGTCCCTGTTTAAGAAGATCATCCTTAGGCTTTTCTTTTCATTTCCTCCAAAGGCTGGAAAAATCACAAAGCTTTCACATTAGCTCCAATCTCTTCTTTGAACTCAAGACTCATAGAAGCAATTTCTGACTCAATTTTCACTTGGATGTCTTAAAGATACCTCAAACTCAACATTTCCAAAACTATAATCTTAAACACACACACACACACACACACACACACACACACACATACACACACTAAACTCCATGATAGCTGGAAAATTGTTTATAATGTTGACTGATTGGTATGTTTGATTGATGAGCAGAAGAATTCTACCTGGTGCACAATTGATTCAACAGATTTACTAAAGTAGTATCTTTAAGATATAAATAGATAGGAACATGCTTTCACATAAAGCTCCTGTTGGCACTCTATTTTGCAAGGGTAAAAGCCTAAATTACAATGACCCTGGGAGATCCTCCTCAATTTGACCTCTGACCTTTCCTCCTGCTGTTCTTCTACCTTTCACAGGAGTCTACAAATATCATTCACTACTGCTAGGTAATTCTGCTTCAGTATCCTTGAACTTGCTCTTCCCTCCTTCTACATTATTCTTTCTCCAGATTATATTTGTCTTTAGAGAAAGATTAACTTGATTATTACATTTAGAATTATAATCCCTACCCTATCTTATGCTATCAATCTGTTTCACACATGCCTCGGTCTATTTTCTCCTATATCATGGTTTTTCTCCTCATATACAATATACTTTATATTGTATATATACAATATACTTTATTCTTTATAATATTTACTTATATTTCATGTTAATTACTAGTCTTACCCACTAAAATATAACCTCCATGTGGACTTGGAGTTCATCTGTAGTATAGATTGCAGGTTCTTCATAGTTTCTGAAGTAACATTAAAAGTCAATAGTGGGGATGTCTATTCTACAATGAGGGAAACTATTCACCTTAAGTAAACAAAAAAATTGCACTGTTTGGGAGAATTTGAAGCAATGATGGCAGTGCTGAGACCTGTGACTTGTTTATTATCTTTCTTCTTGTAAGATCTCAGAATCAATGCACATCACAGAGCCAGGTGTGGAGGAGCCACTGGGCCTGACATGCTGTCACACAATCCCCACTGGGAACATGGCTGGCTCACCCTATCCAGAGAAGAAACTGCAGACTGAGAGAGGGTGATCAGAGAGGACAGTTCTCTTTTCCTCTGCAGCAAACAGTGATTTAATGAGCCTTGACAATTACACACAAACACTTGAGGATCAAAGGAAGATTAATTAGTAATGCTATTTAACACTCTTCTCTCTCCCTCTATGTCGAAAATACAAAGTGTAATCTGAAGAGTCTTAAGTGGGCCAACAGTACTGTTTTAATTAATTAACGAATAGATCAGGTTTCCATTATGCTGTCAGTCTCTTATTATATAAAAGCAAATGATCAGATAGACATTCTTTTTATACCAAAAACTGCTCCTTAAGGAGCATTTAGGATGGCCTGACATTTATGACTCGAAATAAATAAATATTCTTAAATCTCCCAAGGTCCTGGAGTACTAAAATACAATATGAATATGTATTTATATCTTCTTAATATCGTTCTTTCATTTTAGGAAACTTGCTTATAAATTAAAATACTGAATCATATAAAGCATAATTAAAAGTGAACTTTGTGAAATAAAATTCACAATAATAGAAAAGTAATAAAATCACATTTAATAAAAGGTGGATATATTCCTTATCAAAATTATGGAAAGCAAAATTAAAACAATTTTGAGGACTTGTCTCTTAAGTTACTTATTAAAAATATGTACTCTACTTTAAACAGAGCACTGCTTCTTATCATTCAAAAAAACAAAGTTAAGTACACACCTGTAATTCCTGCTATGCAAGGAGGCTAACCTTAAGCAAAAATCAAGAGACCTTGTCCAGAAAATAACTGAAGCAAAAAAGAAGGAAGGCCAGAGGGGCATGGTTCAAAGAGTAGAGCACCTGCTTAGCAAGTATAAGGACCTGAGTTTAAATCCCATTACCACCAAAAAGGAAAAAAAACATAAAGTATAAGTGTATTTGTCTGTCTGCACTAGCTGTTTTTGAGTTGTGTGGGTGCTTCCTCCATCATGATTCCTGGAACAAAGCACGTGCTTCAACTCTTCCACCACTTTCTGGTGGCAGGGGGGCAGAGGCCAATACCCTAAGATTGTTTTAACTGACTATTTTAAGATACTTCAATGTTCCTATGACATCAAGTGTTCAAGTTCTAGCCACTCAATTATTGACAGGATGCAGGTATATTTTAGATTCTCATTATCTTTTTGTAAAAAGGATGGGGGATGTCAAAGGAGTTACTTATGAAAATGGCAAGTTAAAGCATTCAGAACATTAGCGCATGGTCTAGGAAGAGCAAGGAGGGTGAGAGTGACAGCTCCAGTGACATGTGGCTATTGCAAAATGTACAATTGGAGTCAAATGCCACTTTCTAGAAAATGGAAATAAGACCTTAAATGTCTGAGAGATAACTGGCATGGCTGGCTGGGCAATAAAATACATCTCTGTAAGTAGACATGAGCACTCCCAGCTATTTTCCTGGCCTAAAAACCAAACCAATTTGATCCAATCCTAACTCTAAACTTAGAATTGGGGGAATTAAAACCTCCACTATTAGAAATATTTTGGAAAACACATTACACAGCAGGCTTTCTAACCTAATATTGTACCTCTCAAGAAGACTGAAATGACTCAAGTATAATCCACACTAAATAGCCAATGTTTATAAAAATATTGCTCTTCTTACCTGCATATTCTCTTTACTGTTAAGAGGTTTTCCTGAGTCAAATGACTGAAATAGCTGAAGAAATACAAAATATAGGAATTAGTATTTGAGTATTCTTTTCAATGAAACCATGTATCATTTTATTACATAAAAAAGTGAAAGTAATACATACTCTAACCACAATAACTTACATAAAGAAAAAACTAAAAATCAAACACAAAGCAATTTGGTTATGTGCTCAAAATTGGTCTGTTTGCTAGTACTAGTACTTGAGCCCAATGCTTTAAGCATGCTTGGCAATCATATTGCCACTTTAGTAATAATAGCAGTTCTTTGTTTCTTTTTTCTACTCAACATCTTTGCCTGGACTTACCTCCAGTTCACGATCCACAGGCCTCAGCTTCCCAAGGAACAGGGATTATAGAAGTAATACACCATTCCTGACTTTCCTACCAATTACTATTTTAAAAATATATCTGTAGCTTGGTGCCAGTAGCTCATGTCTTTAATCTTAGCTACTCAGGAATCTAAGATACAACCCAGGGAGGAAAGTCTATGAGACTCTTATCTCCAATTAACCACCAAAAAGTCAGAAGTGAAAGTGTGGGTCAAGTGGTAGAGTGCTAGCTTTGGGCAAAGTAACTCAGGAACAATTTAAGTTCCAGGACTGGCAGGAAAAAATTATCTTTAAATAGCTATATAAAGTAGTTGCAATTCAGTCCAATTAATTTTTATGTACTTTGTAAATTTATGTGTAGATTTTAGTAAATAGATGTACAATGAGATTACCATTTAACCCAATTATTTTTATGTGCCTTGAAACTTCATATGTAGATTTATATTCCATTTTCACCAAATATCTATCCTTTTCTTCCTATACTATGAAGTCATTGGTAAACCTCATCTAGTGAGCAGGTACTATTCTATCCAGTGATTCTGATCATTGCTTTAGCTAAGATTCCTAGAAGCAGGATTTCTGGAATAAAAGATAAAAAAATATTGAGAAAACCAAAAAGGTATGGTTCAATTTACACTCACACTCACACTATATGACAATACTAGGATGAGTCCACTTTTAACACAAATATCATCACTTGAAAAAAAATATTTGCCAAGGATAAGGTATGGTAGCTCGTGATGGTAATCCCTGCTTCTGAGGAGGTAGATACATGGGGATTATGGTTACAGGCCAGTTAAGGCAAAAAAAGTCATTGATAGCATGATGGTACACATCTAGAATCCCAGCACAGTTCTCTAGCTGCCCACTGCAGGGACCTCCTCATTAGCTCTCTCTGGGTTAGATCTCCTCTACTTTCTGGAATTGTCTACTAGACATACTGCTTCCTTCTACATCTTTGTCTTAGTATCTGTTTTTGAGTATACATTTTATTGGAAGAAAATATTAAGAAGTTTATAAAATTCCTTTTTAGAAGCTACTCTTTACTGCCAATACTATATTGAAAAGTTAGTGTATAAACTTGGGGGGATGGTAGACACCTTCAGTACCATTAACTGAAAAGAACTGATATGAGACTTTAGATTTTGTGATAAGAACAGGATCTTAATGTGAACACAATGCTAAAATACAGAATTTTTAAAGCAGTATGAAAAGTCCAATAGTAATCTGTAAGACTTTGTCAGCTACTTCCTGCACAAGTAAACTTAATTCATTAATCCCTTCTTTAAATAACTGGCCTGCAGCCTAATAACATTGGCACCTATTTTAATTATAAACCCTAAAAGCATTTCCTCTTTAATTACACTTTGTTAAGTCCCAACTGAAGCTGGAAAGCCACAAATTAACTTTGAGAATATAATACTTAAAGTTAGAATCCACTGGGAGATAATTTGCCCACACATTTATCTTATGAGAACTAGTGAATAAAAATGAAATTTAGAATTTATATGTAAAAAGACTTTCACAATTTTTGTTGTTTTGGTGAAGGAAGGGCTGTTGCAAAGGCTCTTGCGTCTCATTCTACACAACTGGCTTCTCTTTCTTCTCTTCCTGGACTCTAAATGGGGATGATAACCCCAAGGTTCTCTAACTCATGCTTTTCTCTGTCTACCTCAGATCCCAGCAATTTCATGCAGTCTTATGATTTTCTTTTGGCAGTACCAGGGTTTGAACTCAGGGCCTTGTATTTGCTCAATTTGCTTCAACTGGTGTTCTACCACCATAACTATGGCTCCAAGCCCTGCTTTTGGTTGGCTTCTCTGCCTACCCTGGCCTTCCTACATAATTAGTATTACAGGCATGAGTCACTGGCACCCAGCAAGTCCTATGATTTTTAAATCTCTTTAATGATGCTCCAGATTTAGACCTGCAATACCAACCTTTGCACTGAATTCTAGACAATATATTCTTTGCCTCTCCACTTGGCTGTCTGCGATCTCAATTCCTGCCCAGAGCAATATTCCCTTCTCAGTAGGTGAAAATGTTTTTTTCTCCTAGTTGCTCAGGTTGAACACTGTAGTTGTCCTTAACTTCTCTTACATCCCGTATCTAAGCCTGATAGCCCTTGTTTCACAATATTCCCCTAAACTGGGCCACTTCTCACCCTCCCACACTATTATCCTGACCATTATGATGATGCCTCAGATTCCAGATTATTTTTAACAGCATTCTCCCTGTTTATATCTCCACCCCTAGTTTATTCTCCACGCAGCAATAATGAGGACACAACCGTTGTTCTCTGCTGTTGTTTTTTCATTTGTTTGTTTGTTTTGTGGGTTTTGGATTGGGTACAATATGGAGTTTGAACTCAGGGCTTTGCATTTAGTAGACTGGTATTCTACCATTTGAGCCATGCTTTTTGCTAGTTATTTTGGAGGTGGAGCATCTGAATTTATTTGGGAAGGCTTCCAAATCCAGGCATGATGGGTCATACCTGTATCTCCAACTACTCACTAGGTAGAAATAGGACTGCAGCTTGAGGCTAGCTCAGGAGAAAGAGATTATCTCAACAAACAATCGGGACATAGGAATATTGGCCCTGGTAAAAAGGTTGAGACTCTGAAAACTCAAGCAAAAAGGAATGAGGGCATGGTTCAAATAGTAAAGCATCTTAGGTCGGTGTAAGGCCCTGAGTTCAAACTCCAGTATCACCTAAAGTGGAGGAGGGGGGAGGAAAAGGAGGAGTAGGAAGAAGAATCACCTTCAAAATAACAGCAACTGACTGCCCTGTTTACTTCCCTTCAACTCTGCTGCACAACCCTTCATAGCTCATCACCCCTCAACACAGATTTATGTGCCAAGCATGCTTTTATTCTGGCCTCTTACTAGACTGTAAGATCCCAAAGAGCAATAGCTCCATTGTTTATTTTTGTTTGTTTTCACTGCTTTGGTCTCATGTGTGGAATAATGCCTGTATTCAGGGTCAATTGATTAAAATAGAATTTAGTAACAAAACATCAACCATTTATAATAGGAAAAGAGACTGTAACTAGCATTCAAGCAAGAAATGCTACTAACTGGACCCAAGTTAGAAGAGGAATTAGTTAACACCACAACAAGTAGATAAAATCATCAACTGACATATTTCTTGATAGGAAGGTAAGCAGATAGAGAGATTCACAGACAGACATGGCTTGCTTAATTTGTAAACTAAATAGTTAAAGCATCCTTGACATAGCACATGTGGTGCTCCATCCTCATTCACATCACATATCCTGTGTCTAATATACAGATACACTTTTATCAGTCTATAGGCACAGATACATCCATACAAGTATACACTCACACATATATTCTTATTGTCTACTGAGTGATCCTCAGGATGTTCTGTAGCCAATTTCACATTTTCCTACTACAACTGTTTTGTGTGTGGTGCTGGGGATTGAATCTAGGGTTGAATCATATGTTAAGCAGTTGTTTAACCACTGAGTGACATCCCAGCCTCTACTATAAAAGATTATAATGCTATACCAGATATATGGAATAACAAGGGGGTTCATCTTAGAAATAGCAATGAACATGATAGGAAAATGTAATGTCAGCTAATACAAGTGATTTTTAAGATTTAAAGCTCATTTCCCAGGTTCCTTTTAGGTACTCTAAATTTGAAAGCAACAAGCCTGTATAGTGTCTATCAGTCTCATCTTCATACATCCTGTCTTTACAGTAAGTAGCATAGTACTCCCCCATCTTGTTTACATCTGGCTCATATGGTCCAAGCATCTGCCCAAGACAAGGTCACTTGGGCATTCCCAGATTATCACAAAAACCAAAGCAGAGGAAAATAATAAATCACTGACATTTAATTTATGCTTTCACTATAAACTCCAGTATTCATTTCAAGGATGCTTCAATTATTCAGTTTATAAATACAAATAAAGCATGCCAGGCAAAACTGTCTCCTAAAACCAAAATAGACTAAGTAAAATGGAGAATATGATTTTATTCAAGGAAATGAGAAGTCTGAAGGGATCTAGTGTATAGCTCAGCTGTAGAGAAGTTGCTTAGTATGACCAAGGTCCCAGGTTCAACCCTCAGTACCTCAAAAAATTAACTCTTTGATGTAAATTATATAATTTTTTTAAATCCAGGACTAGAGGAATGGCTCAAGTGGTAAGCAAGCACAAGGCCTGAGTTCAATCTCAGCACCTCAAAAGAAAAAAAATCAACTCCAGAATATGGCATATAAATCAAAGAGGTTCAAATAAGATACGACAAAAGATATTTTTGATAAATAACATTTCCAGAAATGCTAAGACTAGATCCTTGACAGCCATAATAAAAGAAAAAGAAAAAACCAACAAGCAGCATTCCTGACCTGTAATTTATTTCAAACTACTACTGCAGAAGCTTGCTCCTTCCCTTATACCTTTTGCATTCTACCAGACAGATGAAACTTTCTGAAAGCCTGCAGTTAGTATAACCTGGCTGCAGAGGGGAGACATAAATATCACTTTTGTGGAAATGCTTCCTAGATTTTAGAAATGCAACATTCAATAATAAAAGTGAATAACTTTGTATAAAATGGCAGGTTACCTTGATTTTTCCAGTAGCTTTAAAACCAGCAGGTATTGAGCAAGGCATGTTTTTTCCATAAAAAATCTGAGCAAGCTCATAAAAGGCTTCAGAAAAGAAGCCCAGATCTATAAGGACTTCAATCTATGAGAAAAAAGAGAAGTATTTTAAGTTAGTTGGTTTCACTTATAAATAAGAACTTTAGAAAATATTTATCAAACTTCCAAGATCCAAAAGTCTACTTACTGATGGCAATGTATTAAGAGTTAATATCTACTAGTGTATCAGTGAGTGGAGATGAGTGCATTTGTATATGCACCTCAGTTACTTGCTTAACTTGTTCAAAATGACTGTCATTTATCAGATGTTGCTTGCTTGCTTCATCAGTGGCAAACAAATAAAATGGAATACCCATGGAAAAGTTTTAAAAATTAATTGAAGCCAGGCTCTAGTGGCTCACACATGTAATCTAGCTTCTCAGGAGGCTGAGATCTGAGGACTGAGGTTTGAAGCCAGCCAGGGCAAGAAAGTTTGTAAGACTCTCATCTCTAGAGAAGAAGGAAGGAAGGTAGGAAGGTAGGAAGGAAGGTAGGAAGGTAGGAAGGCAGGAAGGCAGAAAGGAAGGAAGGAAAGAAAGAAGGAAGGAAGGAAGGAAGGAAAGAAGGCAGGGAGGGAGGGAGGGAGGGAGAAAAAGACAAAGCACAAACACCCTTGATGGTCTTAAACTCTCTAAGGAGAGTCAAACAAACCAATATACTAACTCTACAATTTATCAAGATATATAACATCTACTATCAATTTTCTTATCCATAATTAATATGCACTATCTGTTTTAAAGACATATATTTAATATTGGTCAGCTGATGATTACGCATTTAACATGACTTACTTTTAATATAATCCAGCTGGATTATCATTCAGAAAATTATAGGAGGAAAGCTTTCTGGTCAAATTCATTTACTCTTTTAAAGTGGTTTGGATTTGGGGGTTTTAATACCACAGATGTACCAGTGTCTTTTAGAGGTTACTTTCCATTGGGATATATATTCACTGAATGTAAGACAGGAAGGTATGCACAAAATGAAAAGGTTCATTAACAAAATGTTACTCCAAAGAGTTAGGTCAGGAAGGACTTTTGGGAAAGGGAGCCCTTTCAGAGAAGAGTTAGAATCTGCTACAGAGACCCGGGGTACATAGATCATGTGGCCAGAGCTCAGGAATGGCAGGGAGGAGAGTAGCCAGAATAGAAGCAAGAGGAGGTCAGGTAGAGCCAGTAGATCACAGTAAGGGCTGGTAGTACTGGTGTGGTCATTCATACCTATAACCTCAGCATTCCACAGCCAGAAGCAGGAGGATCTTGAATTTGAAGCCAGCTTGGACTACCCATGTTGAAGGCCAACCTTCATAGTGAGATCTCATAATGAGATACGGTCTCAAAAAAAAATTCAGTGGCTAGGAATGTAGCTGTGCTACACAGTTGTTTGCGTAGCATGGGCAAGGCCCTGTGTTTGATTTCCAGAATCACAAGAAACCAAAGAGAATGAGAAGTAGTAGCGATTAGAAAGTTTTTACTGAAAAGGACCCTAGCCTGAAAACATCTAGTGACTTTGTGGAATAGAGAGGAGGATAACTGTGGATGTAGGAAGTAAAAGAAAAAAAAAATGACAAACACACATAAACACACACACACACACACACATATTACTTGGGGGAAAAAATCAATTTATCCCCAGCATGTCGATCCACCTTACTTTCTTGTTTTCCTTTCAGTACTTGCTTAGTATCTCAAGAGTATATAAAATTAGAAATAAAGAAAGATAGTGGAAATTGGCTATAAATATAACATGAAAATAAAACATAAAATGCCAGGAGACCATTTTTAATGGGAAAGAGGAAGTTGCTTGTCTACTGACTCACACACTGCAGATCTTGCCTAAGCCCCCTGTGTACAGCCTCCCCGATGCTGTACAGTCTCAAAGCAGCCCTTAGGGACATAGATAGATTCTCAGTTTGCATATGTTCATTACCTTGTAGCCCCTTACAAGGAAAATCTCTTTAACCCCCTTATGGTTATAGTGCTAGCATAGACTACACCTAACTGTCAAGGATGTCTCTGAGTTCAGTTCATTCCAACAATATGACCATTTGGAGAAGCAATGGTGTTAATAAAGGGCACGGTATTTTCAGAAGTGACCAGCTCCTGTGAACAGAAACAAGGCAGATGGCAAAAAAACTAGCCATAAATCAACCTTCCACTCAGAAACTTTCCAAACCATCAATGTCCCTCTACACATTTGATTTGTTGAGAATTATAAATCTGTGAAGAGATTGGCAGGTCTAAAGTGAAGCCAGAGTAGTCAATCATCAAGAGGTCTAACAGTTTTCCCTGTACCACAGAAACTTAACAGCATGATCTACTGCTGTTGTTTGTTAGAAAACATCATTCTTTACTGTTTCCAACTGACTTTTCTCTGTTCTCACTCACTGAACCCAGTTTACTTCAGAGAGGTCAAGAAAACTCTTCTCATTAAGGCTATCATTTCTCCCTCTGAATGGTGGACCTATTGATTGCCCTTGCATTGTATCTGTCAAAACCCTAATCTGATTTTTTAGTTGTTCTATGCCAATGAAATCCCATTTCTATCTCATTCTACTCCCCTGTCCACACTGTTACCTGATTCCAGCTCTGATCATGTCATTCTCCTAACAAAATGCTACAATTAATCTTCCCTCCAAACCAGGCCTTCAGAAGATGATACCAAGTACTAAAGCTTCTAAGGCTTGAATTGCTTTCCCAAAAAATGAAGAATTAAAAATTTAATTTCTAAATTCATATGTTGATTGTATTCAGAGATGGAGATCTTAAGAGGTAATCAGTGTAAGATATCATTACTGGTTTTCTAAGAAAAGGAACAGATCTGAATTTGTGCCTCCTGCCCCCTCATCACAAGATGGCTTCTGCCATGTTATGATGCAGCTGGTCACATCACCAGATGTTGCCCTTGATCTTAGAACTCTTAGCTAGCAGCACTGTTAGAAATAACTTTCCTTTTTTGTAAATTATCCAATCCTGAGTACTCTGTGGAAGCAATATAAAATAGGCGGAAATGCAAGCCAATAAAAGAGTAGACTTCTAGCTAAATTTTTTGTTTCAAATCCCTTCAGTAGATCTTAGTATATAATGAATTGTTAATGGTCATTATAACTTCTGACCTCTTAATGACAGTCCAGAATATACACTATCCAACTCTGGCTCCTTTGTGTAATCTCCACATTCTGTCTCTTCAAAACTTGGAATTCAAGTTGGGTCTTGGTATGCACCAAACCAGGGCCCTCTAGTATTCCTACCTGCTTTGAACTCTAGCCCTTTAAACAAGTCAATATTTTCTCACCTCTGTATCTTTCAGACCACCACCTGCCAAAAATAGTCCCTTTCTACTCTCTCCTGTGTTAGTTGTATTCATTTCTGCTTAGTGAAAACTAAGCCTGAAGCCATGTTTCCCTTCTTTCAAACACCTGAAAAATAGTATCTATCACATATATTCACAAACTACCAAGTTGCAAGTATATATGGTACTGATTTGTGTATATGTTCTTTCTTCCTAGTTTTCACTTTCTTATAATCAGGGACCAGCAGTTTCAGTTCTAGAATTCAATTCACTAATGTGGTGCTTTTTAAGTAGGCATTACACTGTAAATGTTGTTTTAGAGTTAAATCAATAAATGTTTATCATGTACTTTTAGGTGAGTTCTACTACATATTAGAGAGACTGTAGACAGTAGATAGGCACTTAATAAAGGTCTACAAATTCAAGTTCAATCTAATAATTAATTGCTATCAATTGGGTGAATTTATTACTAAACTAAAAGATAAATAAAATACAGGCCATAAGCCAGGCGCGGTGGCTTATCACTGTAATACTAACTACTCAGGATGCTAAGATATGAAGATCACAGTTCAAAGCCAGACTGGGCAGGAAAAGCCGTAAAACTTTTATATCCAATAAACCAATAGAAAACTGAAAGTGGTGCTGTGGCTCAAGTGGTAGAGCACTAGCTTTGAGCTGAAGAGCTGAGGGACAATGCTCAGACCCAGAGTTCAAGCCCCATGACTGACAAAAAAAAAATAATAATATTAAAATAAAATACAGGCCTAGCCTCAAGAATTCTTCAGTTATGCAGAGAGCACTGTTAAGAAAGAGTGAGAAAGAGACAGGGAGATAAGAGAAAGAGAAAAAGGAAAAAGAGAGAATGAGAGATAAAATTTTAAGAAAAGGGTCATTGAGATTCAAAAACAAGGAATTCATGAGTCAATAACTTAAAGAAGGTGATCAAGAACTTTTCATGATCAATAACAAATATTCATAAGTCTGCTTAGGAACTTCTTAGAATTGAAATACAATGGACTGTTTTCCTAGGCCCAAAGGTTCTGAATGGAGACAGCAGTTCAGAAGACAATGCAATTTTCTCTCATTGGAAAAGAGGAGGGATTTGGGGAAGAAAAGTAGAGAATATTACCAAACAAGGGAAAAATGTGTTTGAGTGGCTGTCAGAGCCTAGTTATTCCAGCTACAAGGCTGAGTGCTCCTCTCTTGTGTCCCATACATCTTCAGGAACACAGCCATGGTGGGAAAAGTTCTCCACGGGTGAAAAGTGTAGGCCTACAAGTCAGCTTGTTCTTCTGAGAGCCCACGGTGAAACATTTACCAATGTAAAACAAATTATGTATAAGGACAAAAGCATGAAAGAATAGCCAAGAAATATTTTAAGTTCATGAAAGTCAAATATTCTATTTAAAACTATTTGTCTTCAATTTAAATTTCCCTGCTTTTCCAATGTTCACTAAAGTTCACTATAGAAACAAAGGCCTTAAATGAACACATTGTGTACTTACATATGAACAGCTGAGTGTGTGATTTTGTGTGATATTTATATTTATATATATATGTATGTATGTAATATAGCATAAGGATGAATCCCTTATTAGAGTTGAGGAAGTACAGAATAGGGAGCAAACTTGATGGGTGTTGAGACAATCTATGCACAAAACAAAGCAACAAGAGTGGACACAGGTTGGGAGAAAGAGAGACTCTTTAACTACTAGTGCTGACAGGCTTTACTATACATGTGCAGAAAACTGGAGTTAGATCCTTATATATCATGCTGCACCAGAATCAATTCTAAGTGGATCAAAGACCTTAATATAAGTCCAGATGCCATTAAAATATTACAGGAAGGAATAGGGGAAACACTAGGGATTCTTGGCATAGGTCAAAATTTCCTAAGATCCAGAAGTACAACAAATCAAAGAAAGACTGAATAGATGGGATTGCATCAAACTGCATGGCAAAGGACATAGCTAGCAAGATAATAGCCCACAGAGTGGGAGGACATTTTTATGAGTTATATATCATACAAGGGCCTCATATCTAAAATATACTTAGAGCTCAAATAAATAAACTCCTCAAAGAAATAACTACCCAGTCAATAAATGGGCTAAGGATTTAAGGAAGACTTCTCAGAAGTAAGAATGGGCAATAGACAGACAGATAAAGAAATGTTCATCACCTCTGACCATAAAAAATGCAAATCAAAACAACATCGAGATTATTCCTCACTCCAGTTAGAATGACCATTATCAAAAAAACTAACAATAACAGATTCTGGCAGGAATGTGGCCACTACACTGTTGGTGGGAATGTAAACTTGTTCATCCACTCTGGAAAGAAGTGTGGAGGTTCCTCAAAACACTAATAGAGCTTCCCTATGACCCAGCAATTCCACTCCTGGGCATTAATCCAATAGACCACAAACAAGGCCACACTAAAGCTATACCAGTACAACCATGTTCATTGCAACATTGTTTACCATAGCCAAGATTTGGAATCAACCCAGATGCCTCTCAATTAACAAATGGATTACAAAAATGTGATATAATATATATATATATATATGTAAATACATATATAGTTGAATTCTATATATATGTAGATAAATACATATATATAGTGGAATTCGTAAGGAAATAGAAAGACTTGAAAAAATTACACTAAGCAAGGGAAGACCCAAAGAAACATAGGTTGCATGTCTGTAACTAGAATGTGCCTTTAAATCTATAACTAAACACAATAAATGGTAAATGATAAAAAGTACACTGGACATGATAAATTATACAAGACTCTAGGCATTCATATAGTGAGAACAAAGGAGAATATTCTTAGAAAAGGATCACAAAGGCTCAAGAGCTACGTAGATATGATCTTATAAGATTACATTTATCAAAACAAACTCCAAGAAATGGAAATGAGGGTTTTTTTGTATTTTTGCTTTTGATTTTTTTTCTCCTTTTGTCACTGTTTTTGTTTTCTGTACCTTTTATCATGTATGTAAGTTTATCTGTTTGGGGAAGGATAAAGGGCAAGCTCAGAAATGGTGGGACAAAGGAAGAAGAAAATGCAGCAGTGATATTCACTAGACACTATGTTGAAAATGAACTATACAACTTGTGGTAGTAGGAACCAAGAGGGGAATATTGGGAGAAAACAAGGAAAAGAGTGACATTGTTCAAAAAAAAATGTACTCACTACCTGACTTATGTAACTGTAACCTCTCTGTATATCACCTATATAATAACAATTTTTAAAAAGAAAAACGAAAAAGAAAATGAGGACAGACATTAACGTTTGAAGTTACCCAAGGAACAAGGTTCCCAAAGATTCTACATAGGCCTTCACACATAAATTTAAAGCATGGGAATTGATATCTAAGACATAGAGAATTGAATGTAAGACACAGATAATTGATACCTAGATAGCAGAATTGTCTGATATTGTTAATTCAATTGCCTATGTATTGAAATTTTCTTTATACCATGTCATACATTAAAGTATTAGGAATCAATGCTTAGACACCAAAGCTCTAGGTCGCCTCTAGAAGCCAGTATCACAGAAGTAGTGATTTCTAAGTGACCCAGTGCTGGCTGGTCCTTATTCCTAATTCTACTGACACCAAGCACGTCATGATCCAAACCTTCCTAATTGGCTATTTCATATTCTTTATTATGATGAATATGCTTTCTTTATATTAACGTAATGACCACATTACCACTAGCTTATTGAGTATTAAAATCAAATTAATACATAACAATGTGTTTAATAACTAAAGAATATCAAATGTGTTAGAAGTTTGTAACATACCTTGAGGATTCGTGCTTCTAGGTTTCTGACTAGGTCTTGGCAGATTCCAGAAACAAAATACTGGTACAAGGCAAGGAGAGGCAGAATCTACCAGCAGAATAAAATAAAGCTTGTTTTCAAATACACTTTATCCAGTTAATAACATCACTAATAAAATCTATCCAAATGTTAAATGTGGGAAGTACTATACAAAATATTGATTTCTAGGCTGGCAGGTTGAACTGCTTAATATAAGTAAGAATATAATTTTACCAGAACTTAAAAGAAACTGTCAGAAACTTACAGTTCCAAGTAGATATCATTAAGTTCCCCAAATTTATGTTTTATATCTATTCAAGTAAAAAAATCCAGTTATTATCCTTGAAAATTAAATTAATAGAAATATGTGAGGCCTATAGATAAATCCTAGCAAAGGAGATATCAAATGCAAAATTTGAAGCAAAGAACTCTCACACTCAAGTCCCCTAACTTGCTCTTCCTTATTCGTCTCAATATTACTTGTGAGATATTTTCAGACACCTATCTACTGGCAAAAAAATAAAATTTCAATTTGCTTTTTATATATTCAGCATTGTTGAAGTAAACAGCAAATTCTAACAAGCCACAGCCTTTCCTTAGTATATGTTCTACTGATTAAAACTCTAGCTTTTGGTGGTAAATGACTATAATCCCAACTACTTAGGATATGGAGGCAGGAGGATCTTGAGTTTGAAGCCAGCCCAGGAAAAGTTAGTAAGACCCTATCTCAAAGTTTTTAATGAAAAAATCTAATGATTTTTTTAAAGGGCTGAGAGTGATGTATGACCAAGTGGTTGCTTAGCACTTAATTGTTCATTGTTCTCGATTATCGGTAATTCCGCTGCCCTAGCCACCATCCTTCCAAAAAAAGGAATAGTTTTGCCTGGATTTTAGTACTGTCTTGTGCTCAACTTCAACTTGAAAATCTGTACTTGCAGCTGTGTCTTGCCTAATTAAGACACAGTGTGGCAAGAAAGACTATATCTCATGGTTACGCAGCCAATTTTATATTTGACAGGAATCTCCTTAACCATTAGGCTTCATCTGAAGAAAGTTAATGTAACACAAACAGAAACTGTTTCCTTCTTCCAAGTTCAGTTGGGGAACTTCTAATGGCCAGCCAGATGCTAACAGAACAAGTTTATAAAAAGATTATAACTAGTTTTAAATGACTTTAAGCATAATGCAATCTATTTTTCTACAATTATGCACTATAAACATAATATAAAACCTTTTTCCAAAATTAATTCAGCACAAAACACTAAGACTTAGCAATTACCTTTGAAATTTAGTTCCTTTTCTTTAGTGAGAAATAAAAACATAGTATTTTATTGCTGCCAATTACTTTGAAAATCCCTCACATTCTCAATTTCTTAAGATTTAGAAGAAAGAGTCTCATTTCTTTTCTAGAGCAGTATATGTATTACATATAATATGAGTTGGCAGCTAAGGGTTACCCAGGGGAGAGGATCATTTTCTCAATCTAGAAAAGAATCCCTGTAACAGGAGGAAAGCACCATTTTTATTATTTTTTAAGTAAATAATTTCCTGCCAAATCAGCCGAGTGTTAAAGGTATTTATAAACATTTTCATTTTTTTGGTGCCAGTCCTGGGACTTGCACTCAGGACTTGGGTGGGTAATGTCTCTGAGCTTTTTGCTCAAGGCTAATGATCTGCACTTGAGCCACAGCTCCACTTTTGGCTTTTTGGTGGTTAACTAGAGATAAGAGCCTCATAAACTTTCCTGTCCAGGCTGTCTTTAAACCGTGATGCTCAGATCTCAGCCTCCTGAGTATCTAGAATTATAGGCATAAGCCTCACACCCAGAAAACTCTTCATTTTAATAAACATTTTCATACTTTAGCAACGCATATCAAGAGCAACAATTTTTTTATTTTATTTTATTTGTGAAGATACTGTACAGAGGGGTTACAATTACATGGGCAGGATAATGCGTACATTTCTTACCAAGCATTGCAGCCTCCTCCTTTTGTTTACCCTTC